TCTCTCTCTCTCTCTCTCTCTCTCTCTCTCTCTCTCTCTCTCTCTCTCTCTTTCTCTGTCTGTCTTTCTTTCTGTCTCTCTCCCTCTCTCTCTCTCTCTCTCTCTCTCTCTCTCTCTCTGTGGGTCTCTCTCAATTTCCATCTAACATTTCTTCTCTCTCACTCTTTCTCTCTCTCTCTCTTCTCTCTCACTCTCTTTCTCTCTCAATTTTGCTCTCATCCTCTCTTTCTCTTTCTCTTCTTCCGCCTCTCTTTCTCTCTCTCTCTCTCTATCTTTCTCTCTCTCTTCTGCCCCCCCCCTTCTCTCTCCTTCTCTCTCTCTTTCTCTCTCTCTCTCTCTCTCTCTCTCTCTCATTCTCTTATTTCTTCTCTTTTATTTCCTCGCTCTCTCTGTCTCTGTCTCTGTCTCTGTCTCTCTCTCTGTCTCTCTCTCTGTCTCTCTGTCTCTCTCTCTCTCTCTCTCTCTCTCTCTCTCTCTCTCTCTCTCTCTCTCTCCCTCTCCCTCTCTCTCTCTCTCTCTCTCTCACTCTCATTTTTTTGCTAAATCGAAACTGGATTTTTCTGGGGAACGTGTTGTAGATCTGGCCCTTGATCTTCATTCAGAACATAAAGGTAATGATTTGATAGCTGTGACATTTTATCATAGGTGAATTCTGGTCAGTTTAATATAGCTCTAGATCTAGATATTGTATCGTATAGAACCTAACAAGACTCACCGAGTCTCCTAAAGGAGAGAGACTAGATCTGGATCTAGATATTTAGACTTAGGCCTAGGCCTAAACTTGCCTCTCCTTCTAGTTCTTAGTCTAGATCTAGATCTAGAAAGGCATTCCCTAATTTTTTATAACTTACTAATGACTAACTAGAACGGCTGTGTTAGCTGGACACTGCATGCAGTGTACAGGGATAGGACTGGCCTTTGTAGATCTAGATCTAGGGTGGTTTAGTATTTGATTGGAACAGCACATTTTGAGCCCAACCCTAATACTAATACTGATTTAGTGTAACAAGTAAGCTTCCTATTACCGAGTAATGGTATTCACTAGCTAGTAGTGCTAGATCTAAATCTAGATCTAGGCGAATAATCCATATGTATCTGTGCATTTCACTATGGGGGTAAAATAATTGCAACAAAGATGATTTTGGTGTCGTTACAACCAGTAGACCTTCCTCTATAACATACTGAAAGTCAGCATGCATCTTAAAGAAAGAAATATGTTAAAAATGACGTTTAATTGTATAGTATCGAAATAGTCAAATATCGATACCCAACTATTTCAGAATCGTTCGTCATATCTCACAATACAAAAATCTTACACCACTGCACGGGGCTCTGTCCTCTAAAACTCAGGTTTCTTATCCTAAATGGGGGACTTTGAATTCTAAACTCTCAAAATTATAACGGGGAGCTAAAAAAGTTAGAGTATTAATGTACATTGAGTACTCGATACTAGTAGCCACGTGGACAAGATTTTTACAAATGAGAGATGAGAAAAAGTGAGGGTCGTGGTGAAGAAGAAGAAGAAGAAGAAGAAGAAGAAGAAGAAGAAGAAGAAGAAGAAGAGAGTAAATCTACAATCAGACAAACATGTTGGTGCACGAAAAAGAACATAGAAAAAGACGAGGTGTAAAAATCGGCGCTTCACGGTGTGTCCCGGAGGTCTGCGCTCATAGATAAAGGCGCACTGTGTGCGTATTTTGTTTCAGTCGTCAACATCGCTTGAAAGTGAAATACACATTAAGTCTCCCCATACCACCTACCCCACCCCCCCTCACCCCCCTCCCCAGCTCTATCTCTTTCTTTGTCTATCTATCTCTCTGTCTTTCTCTCTCTTTTTTTTTTCCCTCTCTCATTTCGTTTCTCTCAGTCTTTCTCTCTCACTCTCTTCACTCTCTCTTTCTCTCGCTCATTTCTCATCTCATCCTCTCTTTCTCTCTCACTCCCTCTCTGTCTTTCTCTTCTTCCCTCTTTCTATTTCTCTGTCCCTCTCTTTATGTCTCTCTCTCTCTTTTTCCCATCTCTTATTTCTTCTCTCTCAGTCTTTCTCTCTCTCTCTCTCTCTCTCTGTCTCTCTCTCTTTCTCTCTCTCTGTCTCTTTCTCTGTGCTGTGTGTCTGTCTGTCTGTCTGTCTGTCTGTCTGTCTGTCTGTCTGTCTGTCTGTCTCTCTCTCTCTCTCTCTCTCTCTCTCTCTCTCTCTCTCTCTGTATATATTGTAGATCTATCTCTTACTTTCTCTGTTGCGTCCAGTTACGGCTTTTATCGGTTTTGTTAGGTTTGTTGCTTACCACCTCTCTTTTGTGCACAGAAATTAAAAACAAAAATCGGAAGCTGAAGTTGACCTCGGCAGCCATCGTGCCTGTGGCGC